CCCCCCGCTCGGGCCACATCTCATTGTTTCATAGAGAGGCTGTACCTACCTCCCCTCTCCCCACACTGCCACGCGTATTTTTGTTTACGGGCGCACGGCACTATATTGCGCACTAATGCTAAGTGCGACTCGTCGTGTCGTTCCTGGGAACGCTTTTCAAGAATGCCCAACGCTAGCCCAACGCGCAAACGCCCAGAAAGCCGCTAACTGGACAACTTTCTGGGCAAACCCGCCCACCAGCTCGCACCCTGTTCCAGCTTCTGCCCCCCGAGCCCTCCGTGTCCAGCTCGATGGTGGGAAGACGGGCGCGTCGTGGAATGACCGCCGCCATTCTGTATCACAGGTCGAGGCGACTCTCTACGACATTGCTGCTGGCCAGACGGAAGTTCATAGGGGTCGAGATCGAGGTCATTCCCTCGATCGAATTTGAAGGGTAGTGTCGGCAAAGCTTCACAGTACACCGTGAGAAACCCCCCAAGAGAAAACAAACACAAATAGAATGCAAAACGCGAGAGTTTTGGACTCGTTTGCTGGCAAAGTTTCGCGAGACGGGTGGGGGAATGATACCAACACGACAAGATCTCAACATGATTTCAACAAGATAGAAACTTTCTTCAAAACATTTCTATCACAAATTTAGTTGTTTCACTATATTGGTTTTACTTTTTATTGTATTATTACGCTGATCGAACGACTGCTGGGAGTTCCAAGAGCTTTTCTTTTCTTTTCATGTTGGTATGAAAACGAAGCCCCAATGCCTGCGGTGCCTGCCTGCTCTTCGCTGCCAAACAGCTGAGGAGAAAAGTTTAGTTGCAGACATGATGGCTGGCTGTGTGTAGCGTAGTCGAAGTCCGATCAAAATGAGGCTGTAACAGAGCTCATTTTCGGTAAAAGCTGATTTTGTCAGTCTATCAAAGCAAGAAAAAGTGATCAAGTTTCTACTTGTGCTGTGATTTGTGAAAACTAGTTCCTATCTGCTTGGATAATGTGTTTTTGTTGAGTGTTGTGTACAAGGGGCTATTGATCCTTGAAGAGCTGTGCAAGACAAAGAAGTCTTGCCATGTATCTTAGTGTTGTGAAATATGTGAATTAATTCAAACACGCCAACATGGAGATCGTGGGAGACTACGAGTACAACAGCAAAGACCTCATCGGTCACGGAGCTTTCGCTGTCGTCTTCAGAGGACGCAAACGAAAGGTAGTTAATTTACCATCAGTAGTTTCGTATTTGTTTTTTAACATCCCTTATCTCCCTGCTTTACTTAATTTGCACTGTATCCCCTTCTATAAAAACTGAGTCTGTCCCACTGAAATTTTCTTAACCATCAATACTTAGTTCCAAACTTTTTTATTTCTGACAAGCCATTTCAGAGATGAGAGGTTATATTTTCAGAAAAACTTTAAAGGTTTATTATTTTCACGTTTTCTTGGAAATCAAGGAAACGAGTAGAATATTACTTTGTCCACTAACTTTGGGAAACATTCTTTTCACTTAGACTTCAGGCCACAACCGCCCGTTAAGTGAAGTCTGAGTGTTATTGTTTTCCTGCACTTAATTCTTATTTCTTCATCTTGAATGTTTTACTTTACATCCAATTTCTGTGAGATTCGGACTTATTTGTTTCCCATTTACTGTAACAGTTTATGTGACATGAGCATTATTTCTTAAGCCAAAAGACACTAGTGTGATTGGTCTAATGTCATCAGTTTGCTAATGTTATTGTTATTTTCACTTCCCTCAATGTCTGCATTTCTCTAGTATTTAATTGATTTCTTCTGTTTTCTTTTTTCTCAGGATCCCAACTATGTAGTAGCTATTAAAAGTATTTCCAAGAAAAGTCTTGCTAAATCACAGAATCTCCTGGGCAAGGAGATAAAAATTCTAAAGGTTTGTATCCGTGTTTACTGAACCATCTATGAACTCAAACTGAACTGTAGCTGATCAATATATTTCACGTTCCTTTTAATCCGTAGGAATTAACTGAACTACATCATGAAAATGTTGTGGCACTCTTGGATTGCAAGGAATCACCTCTTCATGTTTTTCTGGTTATGGAGGTAAAGTCTCATTCCTTATTCTCTAATGATAACTCTATGTTGAATTTACAGTAACATGTTCCTAATTCTCATTTTCAGTACTGCAATGGGGGTGATTTGGCAGACTATTTAAGTGGTAATTATCAAGTCCAAAATATCATAATAAAACCTTTCCTTTTTAGAAATGTTTATCCAATCTCACCTTGTGTTTCCTATTTCCTCAGTTAAAGGTACTTTGAGTGAGGATACCATCCGTCTCTTTCTTCGACAACTAGGTAATTTTAATTGTCAAAGAGGGTAAATTAATTGTCAGATTTCTCCCTCCAGATTGTCACATTATTTTTTTATTTTTTCAGCTGGAGCTATGAAAGCTTTATATGCAAAGGGAATTGTGCATCGAGATCTAAAGCCACAAAATATTCTTTTGAGTCATTCTGGTGGAAAACCATGCCCACAGCCTCAAGAGATTAGACTTAAAATTGGTGTGTATCATCTTTAGTTACATCTTTTAGTTATCTGAATCTATTTTTTGAAACTGTCGAATTTTTATTGCTTACAATCATTTTTTTCAGCCGATTTTGGCTTTGCAAGGTTTTTGCAAGATGGTGTCATGGCTGCTACACTTTGTGGCTCTCCTATGTATATGGTTGGTATAAAATTGTCTCACAGCAAGTTGTATTCCGTGACTTGGCCTTAGGTATAATCAATCAATTTCTTTTGTAGGCTCCTGAAGTTATCATGTCACTTCAATATGATGCTAAAGCAGATTTGTGGAGCTTGGGCACCATTGTATTCCAGTGCCTTACTGGAAAAGCCCCTTTCCAGGCTCAGACTCCACAAGCACTCAAATTATTTTATGAGAAAAATGCTAATTTATCACCAAAGTAAGCAAGGACATTGGAATATATTTTCTCACAAACTTTTATAAAAACTGTAAACTCAACTATCCTTTCTTATTTTTTTGTAGAATTCCGGCTGGCACCTCCCCTGAGCTGAAAGATCTACTCTTAGGTCTTTTGAGAAGAAATGCTGTACAGCGTATGCCGTTTGATGCTTTCTTCTCTCACCCGTTTCTACAGCGAGAAGCTGAACCCATACCTGCTCCCCAAATTCCTGGTTAGTTACATTTAAGTAATCTTGATGATCTTACTGTTGTGGAAGAGAGCATTTTAAAAATAACATGGTGTTTTTTGCAGGTGAACTTCCCCCTTCACCACGTGCTTTATTCCAGCCTCCAGCTACACAGAGTCCAACTCACAAGGCACGTTTAGATACGTGTGGATCTCAACCTGGTGAGTACAGAAATTCTTCTTCGTGTATTTCTATCTACAGGGTGGGTGATTCGCGCCGTCGTTTTTTTCTGCTTATACTGTACCGGATTCACGCGTGCGGGCGGGCTTGCCTATCGTCGCTCGCCATGGCGCCTCATGGCCCCGTGCGACTATGCAACCCGTCCGCACGCATGAATCCGGTACAGTATAAGCAGAAAAAAACCACGGCGCGGATCACCAACCCTGTATTAGTCCTCCTATTATGATGGTTTACCAAATAACAAAGTAAAGTAGTCAAGAAGCTCTTAAAACTCCTGCTTTGACTGTAGGGTCTCCTGTGTCAGGCCGTGAGCATGGAAGCAGTTCAAGTCCTGAAGATACTGACGATTTTGTTTTAGTGCCGGCCAATATTCCATCTGACCAGTCCTCCGACAGCAATCCTGACAGACCGTAAGTATTTAAAGGGTGATTAATTGTAGTAAATACCGGTATTTTTTTTGTTCTTTATGCTTGATGTTGTAACATGTTTTAATAGGTCTCGAACAAGAACGTCAAGTACATCAGCTGCAAGTCCTCCACGACCTAGTTATCTACCTATATCTGAGCCTATTCCTGTTCCTACTCATAGAGATGCTTTCCAGCAGAGACAATCTGTTCATTCTCAGCAGGATAATGAACCTTCTAAGGTAAAATACAAAACATACTAAAAATGTCTGCCTCTTTTCTGTACTGTGAGTAATCTAATAGCTTTTTTCTTCTAGGGTTCTGTGCCTCGTTCACAGCCCATCAATATGAAACGTGCTGCTGACCAGCGAGCTCCCAATGCTACTCCTGATTTAAGTTCTCTTTCACCTCCAGCTGTAGGTATTCTCTGCAATGCTAAACAATCTCTTAATAAAAGATCACTATTAGATATTATTCATTTTCAGGTTCAGTTTATGATTGGCACTCCGCCTAATGGTGGGTGTGGACAGCGACGACGGTCTGCATCTGGTAGCTCCTGTGAGACACCTCCTCCTGTCAGTACTTGGCAAGTCACTCCCACCAGTTCGCCTTTGCGAAGATCAGGAGCGAGCTCTCCCCTTCTGTCTGGACCACTTGCAGTCCTCCCTTCCATACTGGGTTCCCCTAACAGAATGTCAGATAATAATAACATGAGAGGATCACCCTTGATGCCATTTGGTTCAAGGGCCATGACTCTCCCAGAAATTTCAGGTATGTATTGCCTCTAAACATGATATGCAATAGGGTTTGTCTGTTCTTGTGTGTCTCAAACTTTGTTTTTCTTACATACTCAGAAGCTGGCAATTTCCAACGCTTGTTCCAAGATACAAACCAGCCAACCAATATTGATGCACCTATGACATTCATTGCACCTGAACTACCTGAGGAAACATTGCTAGAGGTGGGTAGAATGAAAAAGTGGCTGATGTATGATGTAGTATTAACTACTACTGTAGTTCTCCTGATCTTCACATGATAAAGAGTAATGCACTCTTTGAACATTTTTTTATTGAATTGTTTAATCTTTACAGCGAGAACACAATGAGACTTTAGCCAAACTGCATTTTGTTCTGGCATTGTCTGATTGTGTACTTGAACTGGCTGGAACAAGAGGAACACCACTTGCTGCTCTGACAGAGAGTGTGAATTTGGGGAATGCTGGAACTCCTAATGGTTCATCAAACAACACAGGCAATGGTGTAATGTCAGAGGGTGCTCGGAGGGCTGAGCAACTGGTTCTCTTGGTGAGAGCCCTTCAGCTTCTGAGTTCTGGTCTTAACCTTGCCACACAACAAATTCGAGCTGGACATTTACAGCCTTCTTCCTCTGTTAAAAGTGGTATGTTCACACTCAAGGTTTAATGTTCAGAATCTATCAACCTCTGAATTCTTAACACTTTTCTCTAACTTGCAGTGGTTGGCATAATGAATACGAAGTTTCGGCAATGCCTTGCGGATTGTAAGCAGCTTAACACCCCAGGTCTTCTGCAAAAAGCAGGGGTTGATCCAGCAACTACAAATATTGCTGCTGATAAAATACTTTACAATCATGCTATTCAAATGGTAAGAATATGACAAATGATTCTTTTCCCATCACAAGTTTAACTTTTTGAGAGTTCTTAAACTAATTATCATTTATCTTGTGCCTTTAGTGCCAGTCTGCAGCCTTGGATGAATTGTTTGGCAATCCAGAAGATTGTTTCCAAAGGTACCAAACAGCCCAAATCCTATTGCATTCCTTATCTCAACAAGTTCATCATCAACAAGATAGAGCTCTTCTGACAAAATGTAAGCAAACTATCTTTGAACCCCCATAATCATTGATTGATAGTAGTGAAAAGTTTTTTCATGTTCTTCATTTTCTTCGTTTTCAGACAAAGATGCTGTTGAGAAGAGGCTTTTTGTTTTACAACAACAAGGATTTATCTATTCAACACATTGCTTCACTCATCTGGCATGAAAGTACTATTTAAATTGTTGCCATCTATGCCTTTAACTGCTACTTTAATCACTTGCATTCTCAATGTCTGCAATAACATTACTTAGTAGCTGAATAGGATAGCTTCTTCAATAGATTTCAGTGTCATAGAATCAAGAAGAAAGATAATTTTTTTACTTCACCCTTACATTTCATTCATCTATCCATTCTTCTCCCCTTACCATAATAGGTCCCCCCTCCCCCTTGTTTGGCTGCATTATTCTTTTCTTTTCTGTCCATAATTTGTGGGCCAGTTGACAGGTTTTTGTCCCACATTCAAATTAGACTTTAAGTTGACATGAGTCTTATTTCGACTGATTAGTACCCCTCCCCCCTTTTTTGTTGTTGTTGAAGTATGGAAGCCAAGTGACTATTTTTGTAATCCTGCCCTTTCCTTAGTGTCGAGTCAGTGTGGCAAGATTTAGGGTTAATATGACAAATGATGAGTTGGTAATTTTGTTTTAAGCTGATTTTATTCAGGTTGTGTTTATTTTTTATCATTATTATTATTATTTTTTTTAAATCTACATGTCTCAGAATACAACCTACCGAATTAGACAGGATTTTAAATTTAGGAGTTTTATCATATTTGGAGATGCTGGATTTTACCTGCATTGTTAATAATGCACTGTATTATAATGCACTTCTTTTTGTGGTAAGTTGAAGTCATAATGAATTTGGCTGTAAAAGACGCCTTTAATGCCTTTTAACTTTTTGGAGTTTCTTAGTCTTAAAGTGAAACATGATACAACGAGTAAGAAAGGCTTAGTCATTCCATGTCTTGAAGCTCTCTACTCCATCTGTATTTTCCACCGAATTTTTCCTGAAATTGTTTTCACTTTTTGGTTTCCTTTGACTTGCACAAATTAAGCCATCTTAACCCTTTTGAACTTCAGAAAGCTTTTACCTGAACAACTTGGCTTTAGTCTTATAGGCTCTGTTACTATTATCTAGTACATGTAATATTATGACAGTATTCATGTAGATTGCAAGTAGCCATATGGATTGTGTGTGTTTTTGTGTTATGTCTAATCTGTTAAAATATTGTCAATGTCCATTAGTGTGTTGTATGTGTATGTATGTACTTATGTTGGGCCAAGTTGTTCATAATTATCATGAAAAGAAACAATGTGCATTAAGCAATGCAATGTCTGTGGTGAGACAGGAACTCAAATCAAAAGCATGGAGGTATTGCATGCTTTCCTTAGCTATGCCTTTAATTACTCTAATAATACAGTCATAGGACTGTTAAGCATTTCCTCTAGGCATTGTATTGGAAGAATACCTACTGTATATTTCCATATGGCGGGGGCATCTCACCATGTTGACAGCACTGATATTCTCATCTTGCTACTTAACAAATTCTCCTTGCCTTAGTGATATCTTATAGCTAGTCTCTATTTCTGTGCAATGAAACCCATCAAGTTTGCTCTTTGTGTTATACTCTAATATCTATCTATATGAATGTTAAATTTGAAAATGCTATCAATATGTTGTTCTTTTTTATTTTCTCTCAATTTCAAATGTCTTTATTACTTATTGGTTTTCACATTAAGTAGAAATAATGTACCATTTTCCATGAAAACCAGTTAAGTTTGATTTTCTTTGTTTCTTTTTTATTTATTTCTTTAATTTTTAGTGATTTTTGTTTGTATTATCTGTTGATGTACCATGTGTTTTGGTGGTATCCTTGTCTTACTGTGTGCATAGATTACTCAAGTATTATATAAATTTAATTGACTATATTTGGGCTTCATCCTAGCCACCTCATTAGCTGTGAAATATTTCAACTCAAATGAAATCAAAACTATTTCAATTTCTTTCTTGTTTTTCTCATGTAGTTTTTTCTGTAGGGAGAAGTCAGGAGTGTGGTGTGCAGTGACACTTGATTACAATCCTGTGTCAGAAGACAATTTGCTAAAAGTTACCGATTTTACTGTAAAGCCATAATTTGTTTTCTGATACAGGTTTGTAGTCAAGTTACTTAAAATAAGCCACCAGATATGTAAATGTATTTTTGCAAGTGCAAACTTCAAATTTCTAGGAGTTCTGAATGTATTTGAGGAGACGCGTGAGTGTTGACTGTGAAATTTGTGTGAGTGTGTGTGTGTGTATGTAAATATTATTTATTGAGTGTGGTGTCTTCCTTGGTCTACAAGAGGAGCTTAAGCATCACTTGAATTTGTATGCAACATCTACTATAGATGAATCTTTATGGTTTGACAAAGAAATTGCCTCAGGAGAAATTTGGGTTTATTTTTATTTTTCCTCCTTTTTCTTATTGCACTTCCATGAGACTACTTTATCTTTGAATATATTGGCAAGAGAAAAGTAGTACAAAATGTGAAAGAAAGCTTTATTGTGGAAACAGTCTACATCAACCCCAGACACACTTTCGTTGGGGTAAAGCACTCTATGTGCGCAACAGTATCACAGTCCTCTCCTAAACCACTCGGGCAAGGCCCAGGCATGCCTGCAGTCATACCTAACCACCTGATCCACTCTTTCAATCTAAGGAAAGAATGGGTGACAAACTCCAACAAGTGTGTTCATAAACCTCATGACACACCTCTTGAGTTCAAACCCACACATTCCTTTTCAAAAACATCTATCTATCTATAGCAAATATCACAATGATTGGCTGGTTAAATTGCATAATAAAGCATGTTAATAGGCCACACATCTTACATGACCAACACACTTAAAATCTTTGGGCATTAAGTAATACATAACTAACTTAGGTATGACAAAAACGAAATTCTTAATATGTATGTAATGAAAAACAAACAAAAATACCCTTGGGGAAAAGATACTACTTACATAATACTCAAGATAGCAGTGTCCAGTACCTCTAGCCAGATGAAGGTACACACTTGCATTCAATTAAATTAAATTTTATAGTAAGTACAACAGAAAACATTTGTGTTTTCAGGTGAGATTTGATCAGAGTTCCAAAAACATTATTGTACAAGATAAAATTTTGATGAATCACATACTATAAAGCCATGGCTAAGTCAAAAGATTCAGAGAAATACAAGCAGTAAAATCAGATTTTGAATACCTAGCTGGTAGTTAGTCCAGTCACTGCTACCACACTTGGTATATTTGGAGGGTATTAGTGGCATTTGCAGCAAGCATTTTGGACATAACAAAGTTAACAAACAAAATAAAATAATAACCATCTAATAAATTGAACTTGTACAATTACTCTCCAGTGGCTGCTTTTGCACAACGCAAATCAACAAAACATTATGATCACAAGTTGAAACAGTTACATTTAGTAGGCAGTGTAAGTACTTAGCCTCAATAGAGTATTGTCTTTGCGGTTTCTAGCAGTATCAAACCCAATCAAAAAAAATAATACAATTAACAGACCTCAACCGAAAAAAGGTTTCTTCTTTTAAGTAGAGGCTCCTTGTCGGCCATGCATACTATGCTGTAATTGCACCTGGTTCATAAGATGGTCTTGTGCACCACCAACTTGATTTTGAATATCCTGTTGGTGCCGTACATTGTGAAAAACACCTGCTTTCATTTTAAAAGCAACTGAAGACTCTTGACACTTGTATGCTAGAACTTGCTTGATACGGGACACCTCCACGTCTGGGAAAATACTTTTCACGTGATCTGAAAAATTATATACACTTTAAATGTAAAAAGGTATGGATACTAATAACTCATATCATCCCCTTTTTAAAAAACCTATTAATAGGCACTTACAAAGTATAGCATTCACTTTTGCATTATCAAGAGCTGGTTTCACTTTGCGATTAGCAGCATCTGGACCATATGTGTTAGCCCTACTCCACCGTTGACCAGTAACAGAACGTGTAGCTAGCTCAATTGGCGTAAATACTAGTCCTGCTAAACCTCGGGTTAACTTACGATAATCTGACCATTTTAATGCCTCCAATTGGTGAGCTGATACTTCAACACCTGGTCCAAGTGTTACCTGCAGTCAAACAAAATTTTATCCCTGGCCATCACATCCTCAGTCATAAAAACTGTTCACATTTTTATATTTTAAATACCTTGGGACCATCAGCAATCACGTGAGAGTAAGTTCTTTTCCTTCGTGATGTAGGAGCTTGAGTCCACACTAAAAGATAGATTCAATAAATATTTTATGAAAATACACAAACACCTGTTTTAACAGACAGTGATGAGGATCGGAATAGTATGCATAGATACCTGATTCAACCTCTTGAAATCGTGCTCCTTGAAAAAGGTCTTGAAAATAACCTGCAATGGAGGAAATTTTTTTCATGATAAAATCAAGAAATGAATTTTTAATGCTATCCAGTACCTTGCACAGCATTACATAACTGGGAATAAAGAAAGTAGTTCAACCTGGTCCAAGTGTTTGAAAAAAAGTTGTGTCTGTTACGCTGATGGTTATTAAAACTAGCAGAAAAAGAAAACAATTATAAGGAAAAAAAAACTTTCACATTTAACGATGTTTTTTTTTTTTGAAGTTTTTTAATTTATGAAAGGAAAAACAAGTACTGCAATATTATCTATCTAAATAAATGACATTTCAACAGAAGCTTATGCCTACGAAAATATCACAATCATATCCAGTAGTGATGCTAATAAGTATATTGATCCCATGGTCTCAGAAACTGAACTGCAGAGACATATCTTATGATCACATGAACAAAAGCAAAAATTTATGTTTACTTCAACAATATAAAAATAATCCGCACTAAAACAAATTCGAGCAAGGATGAGAGGAATACAGCATTTTGCAGAAACCAGTTTGAGATCAAAGTAGTTTTCAGGTTCACTTTTCTGTTATAATTGAATCTCCAGCCGAAAAACAGCAATTAAAAGAATAATTGTTCACAGGATGTGAACTTTGTGCTTTAGATTCCAAAACTAAACAAATGCAATCCATTCTAGGTAATATAATTTATAAGAATGCTGCTATGAATGGACGGGTCATAAATGTGTATATACCCAATGGAACATGATCTTCAAATTGCTTCAACAAATGAATATGAATATGGATAGATAGAAATAATATACAATATAATAGGTTCAGGTACCTCAGAAAGCTAACTGAGAATACATATGGCCACATTTAGTATAGATCTTCTCTCGTAAAAGTGGAGGGTAAGAGTGATTCAAAAGTCTTACATACTTGTCACTGAGAATAAGCCACAAGAGAGAGTCCATTTCTTAACATTAAAAACAGTCTTTAATAAAATTCAACTCACTATGAGTTGCTTGAATAGGGAGCATTATGGTAACCAAGGCGATTTGAGGCAGATGATGCAAAGGCATGGGAAGGAGACGTGTGATGGAGTTGATGTGTTCCTTCTGGGTTGAAACGAGCAGAACGCATGTAGTCGGGTGGCAAAGACCCAGGGGCACTTCCTGCTACAGTGCCTGCATAAAGCAAGTTCGATGGAAAGGGGAAGGAGGGGGGAACAGACGAGGATTGGGCCTGCTGCTGTTGAGATTGGGAATGCTGCTGTTGCTGCGATTGCTGCTGCTGAAGCTGTTGTGACTGCTGCTCTCGCATAGAGCTTGAACCAACACCAGGGTTGTGAGATATTGGGGCTCCAGTTTGTTCCTTATCCTGTTTTACTTCTGCACTCTGGCTTATGTGTCCTGGCACAGAATTATGAGCACGTGTTTTGTGGGGGGATTGAAGATATGTCCTTTTAAGTTCCTCCTCAACACTATAGTAAGGCTGGGTAGGTGGAGGCATATTTGAGGCAACAGGAGAGATGTGGAGTTGCGAGGGTTGTAGAGGTTGGCTGTTTGTGGGACCTGGCTGCTTGGAAAGCATCTCATGGTAGGAAAGGAGGTGACGACGCAAGTACAATTTTGTCTTGAAGGATCGACTGCAGAGTGGGCACTCGACGCTCTGAGGAATGTGGATGAGGCGCATATGTTGGCGCAGATTGGACAGGTTGCTGTACATGCGCTGGCAGATCGGGCAAGGCCGCGGGTCCAGAGAGTGCAGCTTGCGCAGGGCCGCTGCAACACACACAACACGTGCTGTACGGAGCCGTGCAAGCTGCCTTGTGCAATAATTTATGCAGGGTCGTGCATTGACTTCACTCATTGAGAGATATTTTAAACGGAGGGAAGAGAGAAATAATGTAATTTATTAGTTGTATTATTAAATTAGTAGAAATAAGTGCCTGATAAGCAAGGGAGATGAGGCAACAAAAAAAATATATCAAAATTTAGAAGTTGTTGAGGTTTGTGTTAAGCCTTTAAAACAAACTGCACTCTCTGCATGGACCCATGAAGAGCATATTTAAAACAGGAGACAAAATTGCATTTCTTACCTTGATCTGTTTCTGCCGAGGTCCCATCTGAAGCACCTTGTGTAGAGGGTCCAGGCATCATCTCTATGAAAATAAAATAATCAAATTAGTCTAGTAAGAAAGAAATCAATGATAAAATAATTAAAAATAATTAACGGAACTTAGATAAATGGTCTACCTTGCATGCCTCCATAGGATGCTTGATCTAAGTAAGCATTTGCATCCCCTCTAGTTTCTCCATCACTACTATAATCTGGTAGCTCTGTCTTGGGCTGCAGACAACCATAGAACAAATTATGAACAAGTCACAAACAAGGTGCCATGACAAAGAAGAACAAACTTCACAATTTTTGCAAGGTATAAGGAAAATTTAGAATTTACCTCCAACATTTCAGCAAGGTCATCATTGTAGGCCTGATCAATATCATTTTGGTGTTGTGATGGTGTTATGACTAAGCCAGATCGTGAGTGTTGAAGAAGAGATGACACTGGGTCTCCTGTCTCATCAATTGACTCATTTCCTGGGCCGTCAGCACTGTTTTGCCCCTCAGAAGATTCAATAGTTCTTTCTTCTGCACGCTCTGTTGCTTTGGCTCGCTTGGTAGGTGGTGGACTGGAGGGTGGGCTGCGACTTTGACCATCAGCATTATCTTCTTCTCCTGAAAAAAATAGTATTGTAAACACAAATAATTCTCTACCATCTAAACCAATAGCCTGTATCATTGATTTACCAAAATCAATACCTGTATCAGTGTTGGTAGGAGTCGCAGAGTTTGGAGTTGCTATTGATGCTGAGGCTTTTTTGGATGAATCCTGAAACGTAACACAGTTAGTTTAATTGACTTCCATAATTCAGTTAATGGTGATATTTTGGGTTTAAAGTAAATCATCATACCTTGATTGGTTTACCATCTCTATGAAGTCGTGGGGCATCTGTCAAACCTAAAATGTGAAGAGATTCTGCTGTCTGCAGAAACGTTGGTAATTCAGCTTGAGAAACATTCACTACTCCAGCATACATAAATTCCACTAAGGCACATAAGTGGCACCATTGAACATCTTTTAATATAATAATTGGATGTTTACATGGGTTGTTCTAAATGCACAAAGGAAAGAAAGGTGCAGTGTGAATATATGTTCAGAGTGAAAAAACAAAGAGTTATCAATATTTGAAATAAATATTTCATTCACCTTAAACAATTCTTTAAAGTATGGACTGCATGCGGACAGTACCACCTTGTGTGCTTTGACACTCTTCCCATCACAGGTGAGAGTAACGTCCACAAAGTCCTCATCTTGTCGCAGTGTTTCAAACTGAGACGTGATGTTTGTTTGGAAGTTGTTCCATCGAAGACAGAATTGCGGATCAGGCGCCATTGTTACCTACAATGAGGAAACATACATTAGATGCATACTATAGACGATGTGACTCTGAGCGTGGCAACGTCGCAAATCTTTCTGCTAGAACCGCTGGAGACCCACGTAGAGTACACCAAGTGACATAAAACGTCTTTTTGGTCATTCTAGAGAACTTTTATGATTTTTATATTGGCCATAAACCTTACTTTGCACGCCATTTAATACACAATGTAACGTTGCCAAATTGACTTTTGCCGCTGGGTCACATCGTCTATTCCAAGTTGAGATAAGTGAAAAATTTGGAGAGTAGTTTATGTTCTAGGTATACACCCAGATTTTTCTTAACACATGAGAATGACAATATCCATAAATTTGCTCATAAAAGATAAAAGCTGCTCAATAATTATATCTTTTCAATAACTACACCTTAAAGTGTCAAGTTTCAAAACCATCACAGATACTGACATCCTTACTAGAATTAGAACGAATCGGAAAAGCATAGGGAAATATACAAGATTACCCAGAATGAACATACATAAAAGGGGGTGGAGAGTCAAACGTTTGAACAATAGACGTGTATTCCGGTACCAAAGAGGCGTCCCTAAAGGCATCTGAAGCAGACAAGGAGGACGGGGACGCCTTTCTGTCCCAGCCGGTGCGCACTCACCTCAACAACTCCTAGATCTCACTCCCATCGCTTAAAATTCATTCCTTGATAAACACAATAATATCCACACCTACGAAATCGTATAAGAATAAATTAAGAGGCTGACCGCTGTCTCTGTCCCTGTCTCCCAAGGGACTTGATTACTAATAATGCAGCAGACGCTATGAGCAGGCGAAGTGACGTCATAGCAGGAACGAGTACAGTCGCGCAAGATTTCAAGAGAGTCCCTAAACGAAGTGCCCACTGGAATGTCATGCAACGAAACATACAAAAGAATAATCAAAAATAGTTATTTATGTGAAAAATGTAGGTAGTTGTTGGACTTTTGGCTCAGAAAAGGTATTCACTCTCTTCTGTATATCGAGAAGAACGCTCGATACTGCAGTGACGTTGAGGTAGTTAGGGTATTTCACAACAGGGCAGTGCAATAAAATGTCGGAGAGGAGTGTTGCGTTCGTTGAAATTTGAAGTGCAAAGTTACCAATTTGATTGATTATTCTTATGTTATTTAATGTTTGAAGGTGAGTGACCGAGAAATTTACTCATTTAATTTTGTTGGATGTGCTCGAAATCCCGCCTTAGAGATATTGTCATGGGGAAGTTGTGTTAATCTATGAAAGATTTGGGACTTCAGAGACTTAATAACCACCAAGGCTATCCGTCAAGGAGTGGGTGACAGCCTAACAGAACAAACATTGAACAGTGCTTGTATTGACTCAATAGGAAGGTGGTAACTGAAATGCCACAGGACCTGATTGCAGAAGTAGTAGTAGTAAGACTGCAGATTTAGTTGTGGACTAGCTCGATGCCACTTCTACATGCCCTTTGACATTCACCCCAATCAATGTTTTAATCTTAAGTTACTCTTGTCCCCTTTGACCTGTATTTATTATTATTTATCTTTATCTTTATAATTTTATCAGCATTTGAATTTTTCCTTTCATGTCTATGTAGCTATCTGAAATTTTAAATTTTATTGGATAACCTCTCTGCAGTGGTCCATCTGTTAAGCTTCGCATTTTCTAATGAAGCTAACATCTTCTCATTTTCCCAGTACTAATGTCATTAAAAATTATTTTTGTACTCAAAACTGCAAGCATTCTGTTGTGGTTTCAGAATGAAAGATTTTATTTAATTTTGGAATTGTCCTGACCTATGTTTATTTTCTTAAGATAAATTCTGCAATTTAAACTAATTGAATGCAACTTTGTGAGGGTAGCTGCTACCAACAATCCTGTCAATGATATCAAACTGTGCTCAGAGCTATTTATCTGATCTGAGATAGCATGAAGCACTATTTTATGTCCTGCTAAATTGCCCCGTATCTCTGGTAGGTAAGCCTCAGATGTCTTACTTTCTAGTGGAGTAAAATTTCTTTGCCCCCTTTCTATGGCTTTGGTGCTACTCTTTACACTAGGGTGTGAGATTCTCATTACATAGCAGACCACTGCAAAGCCATTCTTTGTCAGGGCTTTAAAATGTCTACAATTGTCTGTTTCTTTTCTTAAATGCATTGAATTGCAGTGAATAATTTTGCTGAGCATCATCAATCCCCCAACCCTCATTGCCCCTCCCCTTTCTCGTGTTGGTCACCCAGCCCCTCTTGTGAGTCATGTCATTCGGCGGACTACTGCCTCGCCTCTCTGGCAGAGCGGGGCGGGGTCTACCTCGAGATAAGCACGACGCTTTAGTCCAGGGTCCACGCAGCCCCTGCGGCTGAGGCGTCGGCGGGGCCAGGACCAACAGGATGCACGCTGCAGGGTCGGTCTGAAAGCGACGGACACTTCCTGAGTGTCGTGCTGCCCAGCCACTATCCTCGGCACGGCCCACCACCCCAGCCTGGCCCAGAATACATCGTCAGGTTTTATCTGACATTTGAATCCCGATGTCTAGCAGGGGAGGCTCTCGCGGACCTCTCCTACTCCACTGCACCAAGCTGGCCGCTGCCCTGGAGCATGTTGCTTCCCCCTGCGGTCGAGAACTGAAGTCTGGACCCTCGTTCCGGGAGATCTCCACCATCACAGGTAAGAGAGATTCATGGGGGACATGTCTGTCAAGTTTATCATCTGGTGCTCTTACGGGGGAACTCTGACTTCTTTCCAGTATAACTCTCTCTCTCTCTCTCTCTTGGTTGGTTGGTGTCGGTTATAGTAATCAATCGACTGTCTAGTTATGAGGGAATGGGAACCCCATCGCGGTAGCAGAGGCCTGTTTGTGGGGATGTTTGTGATTCTGTCCTCCACACCCACCACCACGGCCGCCCAGCCCAGCCGCCGCCCCAGCATCCCGCCGCCCCCACCCCGAACAAACCTTGACCTCACCCACCCCTCTCCACCCCACCGCTCTCTGCCTACAATCACCCCCCTCCCCCATCCTTCGATCGCCCAAAACTCGCACCGCCGCACGCGCGCCTCGCACACCCCCGCATCTACCCCGCGTCCGCCTGCTCACCTACCACCTTCCGCCCTGCTCTCCGCGCGTCCGGCCGCACCCGGGAGGGAACGTACCCGCGGGGAGGTCGCTGGAGGTCGCTCACCCCCCCACTCGGTATCGTTGCAACGCCAGACTCCCCCGCGGTTGCGCCCGCCTCGCGCTGCGCAGTAGCATTTTACGGTCTTTGCGCGCGTGGTAATGCCTTTATGGGGAAGGAATGAAACGAGACGGCGACGGCGTCCGTGAGTGGACCGCCGAGTGTGGCGAACCTTCCCTCCGGGTATGTCCCACACCCACCCCGCACAGGGAGCGGGCCGATGCGAGTAATGTTGCGTAATCTGCGAGCCCCGTCTGCCCACCCCCGCCACCCCGCCGCCCCCGCCCCGGACGCCATGTACCCGGCGCCGCGCCGACTCGACGCGAAGCGCCGCGCCGCCCGGACCGTCATTTGTTGTTAGTGCGTCCCGTCGTCTGCGCGGTCCGTCCAGTCCCTTGGTCCAGAGGGCCGCAGTCAGCCTGTCGTGTGCAAGCGAGCCGGAGCCGGACCCGAGACAGGTGGGCGCCCAGCAGCTTGACTCGGGAGTAGCCTCTGTAGCCCTGTAGCCACAACGCCACGCTTGTTCAGTCGGAAAACAGCCAACACTCACCTTGGCGCTTCCGGTTATTGGTCCGCGCACTGCGTCCGGGACCCCGCGGGCGGCCCGACGATGTCCTGGAGGCGGGCTGGCGATATCCTACAGTGGCGGCGCGTCCTGGAGACGACCTCTTGGCCCGCAAGGCCGACGTCGTCCCGTGCCGGGGCGCGCGCGCGCTGGAGCGGCGGCGTCCTGGAGAGCAACACTGACGGCGACGTGTCCGTGCGGTGCCGAGGTGGGCGCGGGAGTGGCCCAGCACGGCGTGCTCGCCGAGTCCCGAGCCCCCCCGAGCACGGCTAGCA